GTTATGGGCTTAGACCTAATCCAACAAAAACCTAGTATCATTATTATTAATTCTTAGTCTAATATTTATTGCGACTAATTATTAGTCTAGATTCATTATTAACTTAAAGTCTACTTTCATGATGTATCAAGTAAGGAATAACCAATTAGGATCATATCTGAGGTAGGGTTCGTTTGGTATCCGAAGTATACTGTTTGGAAATCCCACTTTAAACAACTCACTAAATCACAACCTAGATATCATCCCTGTAAGTAGATCAATCAGTATAACGACTTGGAATCACTGATAAATCTATTTTATAGGTTCATAATAACAATAATGAACTTGAACATAAGTTATACTTAAAGTATGGTAAGCATAACTCACTTACAGGGGGTTTAGCGAGAAATCGGGCTCTGCACGGGAAGAACTTCTTAGCCAAAAGCACTTCTTCTCAGGAACTTCTAACACCCCGGGACTCGCTACTAACACCGAGGAAGTGCTAGAGAAAAGGTCTTAGGACCTCGGGGGGGTTGGGAGAGAATGGAGTTGAAAGGTGTGAGAAATGGAGTGATATTCGGCTATATTTATAGGCTATATTGGGCTCTTCACATCGTGAGACTTGGCTCTCACATCATGAGCTTGCCAAGGCACCAAGGCTTCGCTTGGTGCTAACACGTGGTGCAGGATGCATGTAAAACAACCAATTTTAAAAAATTCGTAACTTTTGCATACGAGCTTCATTTTTGACGTTCTTTATATATCCACACATAGGTATTAACAAGATCTACAACTTTCGTTTTGACCCCATTGGCTAATTCTCGGTCGAATTTAGATTTAATATTCTAAGAAGATTACACTGCTAACGATTGTATAAAATTCATAACTTCTACATACAGACTCCATTTTCAACTGTCTTTTTATTGTTAAACTCCTATTAATGAGATCTTCATTTCTCATTTATATCATTTTATCTAAAAATTTACCGATCTAAAATTCAATTTTAGAGCTGTATACTGCTAAGCTAAATCTTAAATAAACCATAATTTCAAATGAAGTCAGATATCGACGTTCTCTATATGCATGCTCTTGGTTTAACGACTACTATGACTTTCGTTTAGATCGCTAAGGCTAAAAACTTTTTTGTCAAAAATTCACTTTGTACGATACGTGATGTCGTGTCGGTTCAATTGCAAAACTTCGACAATTCATAACTTCTTCGTTATAAGTCAAATTTCAGCATTCTTTATATGTATGTAAACCTTGTGATATATATGATAACTTTGGTTAATATCATTTATCATAAATAATCTCCTATCAAAAATTTATTTTTAACGCTTATTATCTCTAAATTGACTAGTTAGAATCTGCGGGCGTTACAATTATTTCCCCCTTAAGATGATTACGTCTTGGAATCATCAACAAAACATGACTTGTATAATGACTCCATAAGTTATCTGTTCATCCTAGGTAATAATCGTAACTCTTATGTCTTTTCTAATGAGTTTCTAACTCTTGGACTTCATGACTGTTGGCGGTGCTCAATCTTGCACCTACTCTTTATCCTATGTTGGTCTTTCAATCATAACCTTTGATTTACAAATTCGATCCTTATTGGAGACTCTTAATCCTTCTTAAACATACTTAACTTAAGATAAGTTCTTTACATTGATTATCGTAACAAACAGATGGATCATGTTCTAATGACCTCTCATCGTATGATGCAATGCTTAGACTCAGGTCTTTTAGAGTCAGGTTCCAGAATGGAAGATACCTTCCTTCATGTCCTAATGTGATATAATCACATTTTAGCATGTAGCACTCCTAGCTACAAGCTTCTTATTTTAAAGGCGATTGTGATACTTCTATTGATCACTTAGATTATCTTTTACTTCAATCTTTTGGCTTAAGTCGAATGCTAGATCAAACTTGGTTCTCTGAACCACGTAACATACATATCTTATCTGGACTCGATTTAATATGACCACTAAGGTTAGAAAAACAATCATCTTCCCAGTCATTACCGAAACAATGGTAATGACATATATGAACAAAACGGAATGAATTACTAACGCCTTGGTAACCTTGTGACTTTGACTGATCCAAATGTGAGTCATATGCTTCCGGTAGTATTGGCCTCTACTACCTTTCACACATACTCATACTTGTCCTAAGTATTGCTTCTTGGTTGTCTAAGTCACGATACAATAATTTCACATGGTCATTTAACACATCGGATAACATAACTAAGGATTATATTACTTCTTGAAACAATTACATAGATATTCAAGTTCACCCTATATTATGCCTCTCATATTAGGCTACACCACATGATACTATCTATACGGCTACTTTATATCTCGATCTCCAGATATATAGACCCTTACTCCTAATCTCTTGCATCGTCACCTGCTTCATCAAAGATCATTTGGAATGCTCTTGCTTTTGGCTTCGGCGGTGCATTTGGCCTTGCTGCTTTATTTTTTGTCGGGCAATCTTTTGACATGTGCCCCTTATCTCCGCATCCGTAGTATACCTTATCATTAAGCATACAATCCTTAGAATAGTGACCGATCCTCCCACACTTATAACAAGTCACTTCTTCGTTGCATCTCCCATAATCCTTCTTCTTGCACTTTTCACACCACTTGGCTCCATACTTTTGGTCATCCAGGTTAGACTTCAAGAATCTTCCTTTCTTATCGGATCTTGTATGAAAACCATTGTATAGTAGTCTTATTACATAAATAAAACTAGTTGATAACGTGTTGTTCTGTATCTTGAAAGAGTTGTTAATATCCTCCTGTGATCACTTAGTAAATACGAGATATAAAAATCTAGATCAAACAAACAGTCGATTGGGTGATTCTGCCCTAAGCCCACAACCAAACAAGGAACATGAAATGAGGCAGAAATCACACATCCCACTGCAAGTCGGATGTTAATTTCATATTACCCTAATATACATAGTAAGTCATCACATAGTTACTAACCCTGTTGACTGTTTGTTAGGTATATTATTTCGTGAACGAGTCGTTGTTTCACCTGTGGATTCTTATAACCATACTATGGACGATCATCAATGTGACGTATTCAGACGTCATGAAAAATGACGTTTTTCACCCCAGGCATGCCTGCCTAACTGTAGCTAGCAGTTCAGGTGCGGGATTGTCACTCCCGTATAGATCTATACACAAACTCACACTCTCCCTCCAGGAGACTCTACTTACAAGGCATCTCACACTTTAGTTCTCTCAATGAATTCACTAATAATACTATGAAAACCCTTTTTATTATTAACATGAATTCTTGTAAAATAATATCTTTTATTTTATAATTCATAAGTTTGTTCCTTTGTTCTGAAAACTGTGTTTGCAAAGTTTGTATCTTAACACGTTTATAAAACTGTCCGCAAAACTATGTTCATCATGTTTAGTAAGTTCTATGTTTGTTGTATACCAATGATAGGAAATATAATAAATCAAATTATATTTTTAAACACATGATTACTTGTGTCTTTCTTGTAAAAATAATATCTTTTATTTTATAATTCATAAGTTTGTTCCTTTGTTCTGAAAACTGTGTTTGCAAAGTTTGTATCTTAACACGTTTATAAAACTGTCCGCAAAACTATGTTCATCATGTTTAGTAAGTTCTATGTTTGTTGTATACCAATGATAGGAAATATAATAAATCAAATTATATTTTTAAACACATGATTACTTGTGTCTTTACTTGTATCCTCCCCCCCCCCCCCCGGCGAAAACATTAAAAACTCAGAAAATATAGGGGTATGAACTCACATTGAGTGGGTGATTTGTATGAAGATCGTTATGAGATGTTGGGTGTCAAGTGAAGCCTCAAACACAATTGGATCCTATTTAACATGTAATGACACATATATGATTCAAATTAGGGTATTTCACGACTAGACATGATAGGAAACCACCCTAGGAACTTGGAAACAGTTGAGCTAAGTGCTAAAACCTTATGTGATTGAGTGAGGGAGGTGTACGGCCACCGTAAGGGTGTGTACGGCCATGGGTGTACGGTCGTACACTCATGAAGATATGTGTTTTTGAGGTGTTTTCCAGGTCCTAACTAGCATCCAAGAAGTTTTCTACGTCCCATACTTAGTTGTAATGCAAGTTTGAGGCCAATAAAGATCATCAAAGAGGGTTTACGGCCTTAGGAGGTGTGTTCGGTCGTACACCCTTCATGTTCATGCTAAGGTTGTCAACTTTAAGGTGAAACGAGGCTAGGATTCGAAGGTTTAGCATGTCCAATTAGATGACAGAGGCCAAACTCTCACTTTGGAGGGCCTTTAAGGTGTGTACGGCCAACCTTATGAAGGTGTGCGGCCGTACTCCTTCAAAGGATGAAGAACAATGTTGAAACATGAGAATCAAGAGGTCTTTCAATTATAACAAGCTAAAGGATGAATTACTTACGTTTTTTAAGCCTTTGGAGGGTTCTTGGTTGAAGAATCTAGAGAGAGAAAGTAGTGGTGTGCATCCAAGGGAAGAAAGGAATGAAGGAAGGGAGGTCCACTCATATATATAGGGGTGGGTGACCCACCACCCCGAGTGTGCGGCCAGGGGGTGTACGGTCGTACACTCCTCATAAAGGAGTGTATGGCCCGAAATGCTACTTCGCGACTTTGATAACTCATTCCTAATTTCAACCTTGGTTGTACTCAAGCTTAGAACCCTTAAACAATGCTAAAAGATAACAGAAACGAGTTTAACATTGATTAAATTAAATAGTTATACAAGATAGAATTTTTGGGTTGTCACACGATATTATGAAGAAATATAGTGTACTCTTTTTTAACGTAGTGTGGTACATAGTAACACTAACATCACCAACATACTTTACAAATGAATACCCTCCAACCCCCGCAACGCGGGGGAATCTATAATAGTTGGGTATAAATAGGAACTACAATGATATAATGATAAAAATGTCAAGTTTCCCACTATTTTTTTCAACTTCACCAAAATAGCATCGAAACTCAAAAACATCGAAACTCAAAAAACAACAACAATATTAAGCAAAACAACATCAAATCTAATAAATGTGTTCCATTGTTGCTCTCAAACTAGTACATGACAACATCTTACAAGATGTATACCTGACCAGTAGTAATATCCTTGTAATCTGTTTATCAAAATCAGTTGTTTTCCAATATTCATCCTCACTTGGAAGAACGAAGTGGGCTAACCTGTTTATAAGGAAGAATGTATACCAGATGTTTGATTTTGAATAAAGACTCAAATTATGGACATTCCATGCTAGGTTAATTACATTCCCTCAATTAAGTTAAAGTCCACGTTCTAAAAATTAATTGAATATTTGCATAAGTAGTAAAATAGAAGTATATATAATCTACAAACAACAAGTTCCTATTAAAATACAATCAACTTAGTTTATCAGATTTTCAAAATAAACGATCTAGGGCTTCATTGTCTTGATCAGTGGGCTATTGTTGAATGTATGATTACAAGGAACAACATTACCTGTAGAAGATGTCGGAGGCGAAAGCGGAACAGGTGAAGCAGTCAGAGTCGGAGGTGAATGTGAAGGCGAAGACGGCGGTTGCGGCAACCTCGGCATTACAGATCGAACGGACGCATACATAATTAGAGTTGCAAGAGAAAGGGGTTGAAGAGAATAGACATCGATGAGGGGGCGGAGGGCTTCACTGCCAGTGGCGATGGCGAAGACTTCATCTCTGGCGGAGGCGATGTCCGGATGGGACGGCGTAGAGTTGTAATTGGAGTCAGTGGGAGGGAGCAACAGGAGCGACGTTTGTGAAGAAGAAAGAGTAGAGGAAGGAAATGGGAGTATTTGGGCAAAAAGAGAACGTTTGTACTATTTATTTTTTCATACATGCTTTTACATCTAAAAGATTAAACTGTTTTTTGGTTCACAGAATGTTGATCAAGGAATTTGAATTGGAATTCGAAAATGAATCTGTCAGGAATTTGAATCCAATTCCATATGATGTTTGGTTGGTACGAAATGGAATTAGAATTAATTCCAGAATCTATTTGGTTCGTAGGAAATGGAATTGGAATTCATGTAAAATGGCATAATTACCATTTTTGCATGTTTTGCTTAATTTTACCTTGTTTTCTAACTTATATGTAAAAATATATTATGAAAATTATAAAAACAGTAAAATTTCGGTGGTGGTGGAAGTGGTGGTGGGGCAGTAGGGGTGGCAGCAGCGACAGTGTTGGGTGGCGGTGATGGTGGCTTTGACGGTAGTGGTGATGGTGGCGGTGGCATTGATTGTGGTAATGGAAGTGATGGTGATTGTGGTAGTGTCAGTTCGTGGCGACAACGACGACAGTAATGGTGCTAGTGGTAGCAGTGGCAGCTGGTGGCGGCGGTGGTGGTAACGGTGATGGTGGTAGCGATGGTAGTGGTGGTGGTGGTAGTGTTATTAGTGGTGATGGTATTGGTAGTAGTGGTGGGTAATGATCGTAGTGGCGGAAGTGGTCGGTGGCGGCAGCAAGGGTGATAACGACAATGATGGTAGTGGTGGTGGCGTCACAGGTAGTGATGGTGGGTGGCGGTAGTGGCGTTGATGGTGAGTGTTGGTGGCGGTGGCGGTGGCGGTCATGGCGGTGGTAGTGGTGATTGGTGGCAATGGTGGCGGTGGCGTCAACGGCAGTAGTGGTAGTAGTTGTGGCAGCAGTGGTGGTGGTGGTGGTGGTCGGTGGGGCGACATCGGTGGTGGTGGTGGCGGTGGTGGTAGTGGTGGTGGTGGCGGTGGTGGTGGTCAGTGATAGTGGTGGTGAATTTTCTGATAAGTACAAGGGGTATTTTTGTAATATGCTACTTTCCTTGATGAGAGGGAATTTTTCCATCCAACTTTGGAAGGAATTCACTTTCCTCCATATGGTGGAAAGCTTATTTCATTTAGGAATCATTTTCCCTCCTCTATGTCCAACCAAACACATGAATTCTAGGGAATTAGAATTATTTTCCCTCGAATTCCATTCCTTTCCTGCGAACCAAACGCACCCTAAGAGACATCTTTTTAATTAATAGGCATAAATTCACATGCAACCAAACAGTCTACATCTGACAAATTAAGAAGTTGCCTCTTGATTTTTCAATTAAGAGGCTACCAAACATGGCTTAACTCAACCAATTAAAGTAAATTACTATTTTTCACACATTGCCTTGAGTTTGGCCTTCAACTTCCGATTCCAGCACCAAAAAAACAAGAACCGCAGGACCGATACCCATAGGAACAAAAAACTATTTTTCAGGATTCCGATCGACCGAGAACCAAACCGCATTGTAATCGGTTCCAACAATTATTTTGGTCTTCCCCAATTTGTATAGCAATCTCATCATAAAAACATTCAAACATCAACATTGTTCACTAAAATACTTTTCACGTACTTTCCTATCAGCACTTCAAAAAAAGGAAAAACACACATGACAGACAAAAAAATTGTTTATTTCTTCAAGATACCCTCAATCTCAACATAGCCGCACCATAGGGGTTACAATTCCAGTGTGGATTCGCCTTGCAGACACCAAGTAACTAGTATATACCACATTACTACTACATATACAGTAAGATTAAGCAGAGGGACTACTTATGTCATTTCTCTATAAAGGGAATGTATGTAATTTCTGGCACCCAGGGAGTTGTATTTACATCTAAAGACAGACAGAGTTAGGGAGTTTCCTTTACTTTTTTTTCTTGTCCTCTTTAAGTTTTTCAAGTACAACCGGAGCTGCTGGAATGCTAAACCACCACTCCCTGAATCTGCGTTCCAACCGTTCGGTGCTTGAACTCCTGAGAGGGGAGTACTTTGTGAATTCCTCCAACACAACAAGTAGAATCACAAATTGCATCGGTACAAAAGCCAAAACAATCGCCATCATCACAAGTGCAATTGCAAATCGATCACTCGCCTGAAAACAACAACACACCACATTCATCAAATTAACCTACAATTATAAACAATCATATTTCTAATTTAGATTTTAGAATACAATTACAACTACTCTATAATTTAGAATACATATCTTAATCACTTGCATTTTTATAAATATTACACCGACACCGGATAGATTTTTCAAGGTCTAGGAAGAAATCAAACTAGAATATTCTAACAAACAAATCATCTAAACTACATTGCTATTTTTGCATCAAGGGTGGAAACTTTTTTGTTACTAAATGCGATTAAATTAGCAAGGTAAAACTTAAGCCTAAGTAAGAAAAGAATTTAAAGTCTAATTCCATAATAAGAAAAATAATAATAATAAGTATGGTGCCGTAATAGAAAAAATACTAAAATAAAAAAATTAAAAATAATAAAAAATAATAATAATAATAATAATAAAAATAATAATAATAATAAACTGAAGTGCATTGCTATTTGTTGCATTTAGGTTGTGTTTGGGGTGCATAAGCTACCATATGTTTTGAGCCTATTGCAATGTAGTGTTAGGTGAGACAACTAAAGTAGCTTTTTTTTAAAACATATCTTTGAGATAGCTTATAGATAAACTCACAAGTTTTCCAAATATACCCACCCAAATGTACCCTTTGATGTAATTTTACAGTTTCCATCTAGGATATCAGCTGGTTTTTACCAAGCACTATCAACTACCAGCTAGTCTGCCAAACACAGCCTTGGGTTGAGAATGAGACTTAAGTTGGGACTAGAAGATATCATATCATATAATCTTGTTTGAGGTTATTACTTTATAGTTTATATAGATTTGATTTGAAGTGTTAAAATAAAATAAAAGAGGAAAAGATGATGAAAAAAGGCAAAGGCACCTGTGGGAATATGGAGAGCAATAGACCGCGTAGTTTAAGAAGAACAACGTTTCCATCTTGGATTAACTCCTCAGCTTGAGAAATTGCATTTTGGACTGCCAAAAGCTGCTCCATTGTGTTCATAGGTGGCGGTGCTATCACCTTGAATTCATCCACCGGCCGCCCTCGGCTTGAATACCGTGTAATCATAATAAACAGTGCAACAAACAAAAGCAGCATCGCGAAAACATAACAAAACCATCCCCTGCCAAAATATACATCAGCTGTCTGTGTCTGTCTTTTTTTTTTTTTTTTGATCACTTAATTAATGTGGAAAGTGAGAATTTGGTGCCTTCATATATTCAGACATCATCCTTTCTCTGTTCCATCAAATAAACAGCCAAATTTTTTTATTTGTCATCACTTCTAGACACAAGGGTAAAATGGTCATTTCTCATCCACATGTTTCCAAACCGGTAACCGTCTTTATTTATACAGCACTTATTTTTGAAACAAAATCCATGCATATAAAGACGGCACTTGAAACAGGTCCTCGGTGTTGTTTGGATAAAGTGGTATCTGGATATATGATGTTTAAAGAATTTTTGAGAAAATGAAAGCACAGTTGTGAAATGCAAGGAAAAATAAATGAGGGCAAATTTGTAAAAGCTTACAACTTCTTTTCTTTGACTTCCTCTATTAAGTGAGGAAAAATGAATCGCTCATATACTCATTAAGTTGACTATTAAAAAAGAACTAACACAAAACTTTGTTCGACTTCTCTTTCATAGTTGTTTAACTCAATCTGCCAACAGTGATTTTCTTAATTTTATATGAATGTGACTAGTAATACTCCATCCATTTGCTATCTTATGGTAATCACCACATGATGCATGCAACTGCAGGAATTGAATTGGATACTCAAATTAAAAGCTAACCTACACCTACCTGTAAAGGACGTATGTTAATACCAAACAGAACTGAAGAGACTTCACAGGATCTTCCCAGTAATATAGCTTCACAAGATGATTCCCAAGTTCAGTAACTGGAAACAGCAACTCCTGCAAGTATAAATAAATAAATAAATAATGAGTTCACTTTTCACTATCAATCTCTCATTAATTATTTGTAAAAGCCCTCCTCGGATGCATCACTGAAAATAAAGTGTCTCCAGTCCCATCACACAAACAAATAATAATAATAATAGGACTGGACTAGCTATTGGTATTTCCGATGAGAAGGGCATTGGACAAAATAAATTGCAAAACTTTGTCCCCTTTGTTTGCATTGCAGTACAGACTACAGAGGAAGGAGCAACAATCAGAATTGTGTTTTATAAAAAGAAAATACCATACCTTCATGACAGCCAAGTTAGTGTCAAGCCCCTCAACTTTAACTCCATCAACTGTAGCTTGTGCATTTGCAACCATCTTATAAGTGCTTCTGGATTCTTTCACCGCTTTCTCTAACGGAGTTAACTCCCCAACACAAACATCACCAACCGTAATCCCCCCGGCCTCATTAACAATATTGCAACTTGTCCCAAACACAAACCCTAAGCTAGAAGCCATAGTGCTAGCCGATATAGAATACATTCCCTTTTCGCTGCTCTTTACATCATCTCGACAAATTGACATGTCAGCAATTGTTTCCAATATCCGATCGCCACCTGGAAGTTGATCACAGACATTGAACATAAGACCGGCCTCGAAGGACAATGGGATTGAGGAGCTGCTCATGTCTTTTAGGGCTTGAACTCGTAGGATTCCAAAAACCGTTTTTAAAAGGGTTTCGTCTTTTTCGATTCCAGTTATCTGGAATTTACGTATAAATCTGTGGGCGTATAGAATTTCACGGATAATAGCCAGCCAGTAGTCACGCCGAGTGTGTCCCTTGAGCTCCGGAAGCTCCATAACAATTGCTTCTGATCTACATTGGAATCCTCACCTCAATCAGTACGAAACAACTCCTAGGGGTAGGGTAGGGCAACCTACTTTTGTTTCTTTTCTTCGCAACATTGCAGTTTAAATGTTTTCTAACTAACACGTTACTTGCATTTTACAATATATATATATATATATATATATATATATATATATATATATATATATATATATATATAGCATTGTACTTTTAATCTTTTTCTAATTAGGACGTTGTTATACTTTGAAAATCTTACCAATTATAGCACTGAAAATTGCTTTGTATTTGGATGACATTGTTATACTTATAGTCACCTAAATTTTTAAAGGAAAAATGAAAGTAGAATGCTATAATAAACAAATTAGTCAAAGTACATTGTCATTTCTTACATATAATGAAAAAAAGCTATACCACTACAAGTTACATAAACACATGTAAGTAATATTTGTTTGAAATATATTAAACACATTCAACATACAGTCACATAAATTTTTATTTATCATTCAAAAATAAATAAATTAAATTGGATAGTAAGAAGATATAATGAAAAACTATAATAAAAAAATATTTTTACTTAATTTTGGTCCTTTTGGAGAAAGAAACAGCAGTTATAGTTTTAAAGGTTCTTAAAAACCTTAGTGTTATATAAACAAAAGAAAATTTTAATATTGTAATTTAAAATTATATTCCATTCCAGCATACCATAACCAAACACTAGCTAGAGCCAAGATTATTAAAAAAATATAAGCATAAGAAGTAAGAAGGGCTTACAAGGAAACGGATTTATACAAGAAGGCTTTATCAAAAAGGCGGGTTCCCCATGGACCGGTGAGCTCAGGCTTAACAAATTGCTTTAAATCATCAGCCAAATCATAAACTGTTGGCTTATCATAAGATACAACACGTAGAGCTTCAAAGTACATTGCATGATCTGTCAAAGTTAGCCGACCTGCCGCCACAAATACAGATTTTCAGTATTATACTACAACACTTTAACAAGTATCCTTCTAATGCAAGATATCAAGATCCTTCTAATGCAATATTGGAGTGCAAATGTACAACCAAAAGTGGAGAAGATCACGAGTTCTTCATTTACGATTATAGATTAATAGTTAATTATTGCATTCTACTTTTTGTTAAGAGTTTTATACTGTACTCATTTACGATTATAAAAAAATACTTAATTACTACATTCTAATTTTTTTTCTTTTTTGTGTTATTCATTTATGAATAGAAGTATAAATTAGTTATTTAGCAACGCGTTTTATTCGGTTATGTCTATATAATTACATAGAAATTTTTATCTTTAAATTGTGTTTTATTCGTTTACGATTACAGCCGTATTCATTTATGATTACACATGTGTTTTATTCATATATGATTACAAATATTCTGATGAAATGATAAATTAGAAAGGAAAAAAAAAATCTATTTTTAGAGAAATAATGATAAAAATTATTTTTACTTATTCCATTTAACAAAAATGAAAGAAAAAAAGGATTAATTCCTTTTTTAAGGCAACTAGAATAATTATCTCTAGATTTTAGGAAATTATTTTACATCTTAATTTGGGGGTTTAGAAAACAGGGAGGATTAAAACTGAATTTGATGTCATATGAGGCTTTATGAAAGAAAAGTGGAATTTTGTAGTGAAACAAAAGGCAGGACTGAGATGGAAATTGAATTCCAATGGAATCCACTAAGGAAGGGGTATTGAACATTTAAGTAGGTAGAGATGAAGTTACGAACCAGGCCAAGTTGAAATCCCAACATGTTGAAGAACAGGCTGAGTGGTTACCGTGCCATCCAGTTCCAGAACCCTTTCCCCTCTTCCAGATCGTTGGGATGAAAGGAGAGATGACTCTGATTGAGATTTAAGTTTTCTCACAGCCCTGTATATATATGCAACATTCATTCATGTCTTTTGACAGCCTTTGGGACTCATCACCAGGGAAAATTTCAAAAATGTTGACCAAGGTGGGATAGGACTTGCTCTTGGTTTCTCGTCTGTGCAAAAGACATCTCATATCATCATCGAACACAGCCCTAGAAAGCTCGTCGCGTAACGTAACAAACACACATGAATGAGACTGTACAAACTTTCTACTTTCTAGGGCTATCTTTGATGCGAAGGGCATTCGAGTCTTTTGCAAATATCTTTTGGGTAATTGCAATTTTTGTCCCAATTAAACGAAACACAACACAAGGCCAGTCTATCCTGTGTATTTAAAAAAAAAAAAAACAAACAAACTTGAGATTTTATGGAAATGGTACCTTTCCAGTCCACTGAGGTATTTGTCAAAGGTAGAAAACAGAAGCCGGCCTCCAGTTGATGCAGTCAGAAACTCAAATATATAATCGCTGATGATCACATTGGCTATAATCGGAACTGCTGGTGCAATTCGGGAAAAGGCCTCTATCCCCACACTTGCATCCTCATCTATCTGATGCATAATAATCAATTTTACAAAGTCAAAATCCATCTCCATCTTGTCTCACATCCATTCCATCACAACTTGGACTCACCGTATCTTAACTTTGAAGAAACTAAAACTTACCTAAAAATGTCCAACTTAGCATTGGATCATCAAATCTCTTTCTAACTGCCAGTATTCATTCTTTCTTTTTTTTTTCCTAGAAAAGCTTAAACTTGTAAAAAAAAAAAAAAAAAAAGCATCTTTTTCCGATATCATGTTTAGTTTAATTTTTCTTCAGTTTTACTTATGTAAAAGTAAAACATGCTTAATTAACATGTGAAACGATTATTCTGTGGGACATTAACTTTCCGCGGAAGGAATGGAAAGGACAGGGTAATGGAATAAGGAAGGTAACAGAATGAGTCATTACATTCCATGATCATGTTTAGCATGTACGAACAGAATGAGTTTATACATACTAGTATAATTTTTTATATGTAAATAAAAAGTGTAGTTTTAACTCTACTTTATGCATCATTTAAATAGAATCAATGAATTTTTGATTTACGTAAACAAAAAACTTCTAGAGTCAAACCTAGCACGTTTGGTCATACCAACTAATCCCTGTTTTCCGTGTTAATGTTTTCGATTGTCATTCATGTTGTTTCAAATATCTTCACAATTTTAGATCTTCATAAGAGGTCAGAAAAGGTTCTTACTGAGGTGAACGGGAAAACATCTTCATATCCAGGCACATCCATTATTATCATTATTACTATTTCGACTATTATGATTCATCATCATCATTATTATTATCATTTATACTATCTATGACTATAATCACTATCATCATCATTATTATGATCATTTTTAAACTGTTTCGAATGTAATATATACATACATCCATGGAAGGGTGGCTAGCAGCATCAGGAAGCTCCCACGCAAGCATCATATCAAATGTTAGACGTCGAAACTTCTTGTCCTCCATGTAACCGTTCATTTGTGTGGATACAGAAAGAGCCCTGAAACAAGAATATTCCAGAAAATTCCGGGCATACCGTGATGGATCTTTTATAGCATCAGGAGCCTCCTCATTAAAGTTTTCTTGAAGCTGACCCGTTGGAATCTCCAGGATTCTGCAGTAATCAGGTATGTATAAACCACATATTATCCAAACTAAATGTTGTTTCTTTTTTTACTTAATTCGGACATGACTTGATATTGTAAAGTGTATATATATATATATATATATATATATATATATATATATATACGTAATGCAAAAAGAACGACTTAATATCAAAAACCATGGAAAGGAGGCTTTCCCATTAAGTCCTAACCAATTAACAAATTTGGCCTCATTTACTTTTTCCTTCCACTTCCCAAGTTTTTTGTTTTTTTTTTTATTTATCTAAAGAGTACCTTATCATGGGAAAGGAAAAAGAAATATGGCCAGCAAAATGGAGATGGAACTAAAAACTCTATATCCAAAGAGCACTTACTTTCAAATTTCCATAAGCTATATATGAGTGTTTCCTTTTGACTTGATGCGGAAACAACGAGCAAATAGAAAAAGTCAGGGAAATGAGGCTTTCCATTAAGCCTTAACTATTTACAAATTTGCCCTGATTTATTTTTTCCTTCCATTGGTTGCCATCAGATGTTTTTTTTTAAATATCATTAATCTACACAAAACTTTATCCAAGGTCAAGTAAAGAAAAAACAGGTTTGCAAAATGGAGATAGAAATAGCAAGTCTACTGCAAAAGAGATTTTACTTATAGAGGGGTATTTCTCTTTGACTTAATAAAGAATGTGAGGAAAGGAAGCTTATGGCATATATTTTTTCCATACATTTCCCCAAGTTTGCCATGGTTTTCTGATATGTTTCTATTAAACATCATTATCTAGACAGAGCACTCAATGGGAATTAAAAAGAAACAGTAAATGAAGGTAGAAATAGGAAGTGGAAGTCTATTACAAATGAGAACTTACTTTGAACATCGACGAACAACTATATTTGCCACGGGGGACAGCTCATGTATCCAGTTACTGTCAGCAGATGGAGACAGTTTCATCTCTTCAAACTCTTCATGAAATGGACTTCGGTTTTTCAACAACCACTTAAACGATCCATCTTTCACAAAACCCTCGATCATATTTCTAGTTTTGCTTGCTGAAGTCATCTTCTAAATACCAACTTAAAATTAAATCATATCCAAGTTTCCAACCACCTATCAAACCAAAACTTTAGCTAATTAAAACATTAAAGAAACTACAAAACAAAAAGACACTTTTTTTCATCACCCAATAAGCAGATAAAGCAATTCTGTTTTTGATCAAACTACAACCTAAAATCGATAAGTATCAACAAGAAACCATGATTTTTTAATTTGAAATATATCTCTCAAGTATGGAACATGTTGCATTCAACAGGTATTTTGTTTGATATTTTGTACATATCTTTTCAGGTGGAAATATTGGTATATCTTATGTTGTCGATATATACTTCATGCCATATTTTGTTAAAATTGCTATCTTCCTAAACACTTGCCACATTAGTGATGAATTATAAATCTGTATAAACCGGCAACTAGAGTACTAGCCTACTAGTAAACTCAATTTCTGAAAGGAGTAGTTCCCTAATCTTCTCCTTATAGTTAATTTTATTTCTTGGAATAACATGCTACCATTCAACTAAAAAAATCGATTTCAGTTATTGCAATAACATATTACCATTCAACTCAAAAATAAACTAATACCCGGATAAACCGGAACCAATTTTAACCAATTTGAAGCAACCAATGACAGTAGACTATATATGGAAATGATGTATGATTTGGGGGTTTTGATATAAATTCAGAAGTTGTTTATGTACTGTTTTGATTTTTCACTGCAGTAGGTTTGAAATTTATAGCAATATCGCTTGATATGATTTACAAATCAAACATTGTCCATCGTTTAGTATTGCATCCAAATTTAACCAGTGAAGGGTCAACTCAACGCACCATCTTGAATTAAAACCCTCAATGTTCCTTTACATATGATTCTGTTTCGAACATGACAACTACATTCAATTCAATTATAGAGCACATATAGATCCTCATATAATATCAATTGCAAAAATACCCTCAAAAGTCCTTTTCCACTTCCGTATACCAATACGAGTCAGATCAAATTAAATCACACACGTGATGCAGTTAAATGTATAATTTATTGCTAAGACTTACGCCTGTTAACTAAGGAGCAGAATTTTGTAACTGCAAATTGAGTTGAAAGAATGATAGAGCAGATAGTTTATGAATCAAAATTGTGTTTACAACCCACAGAAGCAGTGTAAGATGAAGAAATCAGAATCAAACTGTACCTAAGTTGTTAAGCAGTGAGCCACTAACCGGACAACCCGCCTGAAGGGGCTACCAACGCCGTGAGATGAGAGAATCGACAGATGACGTGATTCCGGGAACAGCGTGATTTGGGGAGCGACTGGACCGAAAGATCAGGGGGAGTTGTTTCACCTTATTTTATATACAGAGTTCGAGTAACTGGCAAATGTGGTCCCTAGGGTATATGTTTTTACGGTTTAGGTCAAAAAACTAACTTTGTTTTTAATTTTGATACATGTAGTAGGGTTTCACATCTTTTTTGGTAAAAAAAATTATAATAATAAAAATAACCGGATGAAGATGCAATTGTCGTGGTGTTGAATAGTCAGAAACAATCGTTATTAAAAAAAAGCTACAATACTTCATAAGTAAATATATAAACAGCACATATAACCAAAATTAAATTTTGATTAAGTTGATAATACCATTATTTTACTTTCTCAACATCTTCAATGCTTCATCTTCAATCTTCTATAGATCAACAATGTTGTCCAATTAACTTGCAATTGATGGGAACAAAAAATCAAATTCATTAGCTGAAAAAATAACAAATGAATTCTCTAAAAAAATGGTCATACAATACCTTAATAGTGAAAAATTGAAATTACAATGTATTGATTAAAAAATCAAAATAATTGTACATACAATGTATTGATTAAAAAATCAAAATGATTGTACATACAATAACACAGGAACCATTTGTTGTAATATTAAATTTTTACCCTTTTAAAGATTTTAAAACATATTTCTTTTATGGGAAAGTTGCTACAATAATATAAACCTTTTTTTCGAAAACGACTAAAACATACAATCTATTTTTTTAATGAAATCAGTTTGATATATTTTTCAAAATAAAAACCGATGTAATAATCTTAAGGGTTAATGTCACTGTAACCCAACCAATTATTCGGTTTTGGTTTAAAAGGTCTTTAATGTATTTTTTTGGTGGTCCAGATCATTAAACTTATATGTGACCAGTTAATTATACCAACAATCTATTTTTTACCCGGTTTTACCGGTTACACCCACGAATTGAAGCTCCTTTTCCTTGTAAATGTCACTGGAAATACCATCCAACCACCTTACACCACCATTCAAGCTTCCTTTGATAACCACCTGGTCCATCCGAATCTACACAATGAAACACAACATGCCGAACACTATTATCTCCGTGCAAAGTCTAGCAACTACAACCTCTACCAAAACATCCCTCACCATCGGCTTCACTGTATCTACCGAGAACCGTTACCTTTATATCATATTAGCCACCTTTTTATGCACTTGCAAACCACCGTCAACATCCCCCAGTCATGAACATGTTTTCCTCGGCTCCCTTACCATCACAAGGTGTCAAAGAAAATTTTGGCCAACCTTGAAGAGTTGTATATGTGATTTTCTGATGGAACTCGACTTAGTCATAGGAATATACATAAACGATCTATTGTCATGACAAATAATAACTGCAAGAAGTAACATAACTCATCATCTTTACTGAAAAATGTTGGAAAAAGAGACAATAACGTTCATAAAGATGAAGTTTTTATCTTTGTGTGGGCTACCAAAGGTATCGGGTTTGTGCCAAAATGCCAACAAAATAGAGCTATTACAACCCATGGAGTCGGAACTTGAAATAATTCCAAATATCACAAGCATTTATCCTAGGAATAATCTGGAAGCATTTAAATTTTTTTGAAGGAACATGTAAATATGGTTTATGATGCTACAGTTCAAATAATATTTTCAATTAAAAGTTATAAAAAGTTGTTTGTTTGGATCATCTTTAAGATATTCATGTGAGTGGGCGTGGCTCCATTAAAGTATTATTCAACATTGACTTGGATTTTATCGGTGATTTAGAGGAGAAGGTTGCAACAGTAACAACTTGAGAAGCATTAAATTGTAAGGATTGTATGGAGGATAAAAAGTGCAAATAGCTCTCGTCTCCTCATCGGTGGCTTTCGAGCTGTTCTCGGTAGTTCCCCGGTGATATAAAGCTCGATGGTGTAAGGAGGAAATGTAGTTGATGGTTAAAATGGTGGAGTTTGTGATATTAAGATGGCTGAGTTTGCAGGTGTGTGTGCAGATGGTGTTCGGTAGGCTGTGTTTCACTGTGGAGATTCGACTAGAGCAGGTGGTTGTCGAAGAAACCTTAAATGGTGGTGTATGTGGTTGGATGATATTTCCAGTGATAAATTTTCGACAGGAGTGGATGGTGAAGACGATGGTTGAAGGTAGATAGCATGTAGCATCATACAACATCAAAATTTATAATAAAACATGGAAAGTTTCAGCAACCATTTCAACGACGATAACAATAGCCCAGATACTTAAGGATTTCATATTAGAGATTTACAAGGAAAATGAGCTTCAATTTGTGGGTGTAACCGGTAAAACCGGGTAAAAAATAGATTGTTGGTATAATTAACAGGTCACATATAAGTTTAATGACCTAGACCACCAAAAAAATACATTAGGGACCTTTTAAACCAAAACCGAATAATTGGTTGGGTTACAGTGATATTAACCCTAATCTTAAGGACAACTATAGAAATTAAACAAAATAGTAATGTAAGTTCATTATTTAGTTTCACTTACAAGCTAAGAGCCATTGATAGAATGCAAGGTTTTGAGATTTGGAATTTTGCAATAATCAAATAGTAATGTAAGTTCATTATTTTGTTTCACTTACAAGCTAAGAGGAATTGATATAATGCAAGGTTTGGGGGTTTGGAATTTTGCAATAATCACTATCTTATTTTTTATTATTTAGTTACTTTTTTATATTTAAATGTTTTTAATATACCTCAGAAGGTTGTCTTTTTGCTATAAGCCAAATATTTGAACGCAAACGTTTTTTAGGTCGACTTGGTAGTAAAGAACCAAGGGTAGAATTGTCGATGCCATTGATTTCTATCAACAAACATAAACAACGTAACATCAATTTAAATAAAGAATGATAGAATTGCCTATTCCTCATAAAAAAAAATTTAAAAGATCAATTTACTTATATAGATTCACTAAATCTTTACAAAAGCAAATCTCGGAAATTATTATGAGCTTATTGATCCAATACACAAAATGGTAATTGGATAGCTAAATATGACATTCATTATAGCTTAGAAATGAAAATTGAAAAATAAAACAGGGAAATATGATATTCAATCACATATTTTATTCCATCAAAGCAAAACAGATAGACAAATATGACATTATTTATGGCTTAGAAATGAAAATTAACAAATGAAACGGGGAAAAATGACATTTCGTAATGGAATAATAAATGCACCCTATAGCAATTAATTTTATAAATTAAAAAGAAAGGATCTAATTTGTAGTTTACATGCTACCACATATTCTTCTCTACTTCTTGTACCCTGTTTGGTAGTAAAATTATGAATGTAAACATTAAAAATATAAAAAAGAAACAAAAATTAAGAAAAACATGGACATATTTATGTGTGTCATAACCAAATAACATCCATCTAGTTCCAATAGAAAGGCAATCAACATTATGATGGTATGTATATAAATTATCAACAGATTATCAACAAATTATCAATCAACATCTCTGAAAATAATTAAGTAGATAATGTCCAGAAAGAAAATAATAAAAATAAATGAAAAAATGATTACAACTACATTACCCGTATTGCACAACATCAAAGCCTACACCAGCAATTCCTTGAGAAACTGCATCCTAGAAAAAAAAAATTAGGCTAATGTATGATTTCATGCTAAATAAGACGAGGTATCAACAAGGAATTAGATTTTATCCACAAAAGTTAATATATGTAGCTTTTGTGCAAAAATTCTAGAATCATGGCCAATTGAGATATTGAGGCGTTTAAATGAATCAAATTTTTTTCATATCTAAAAGCCATGTAGCAAAAGCAACTGTTATGGCTTGTGTCACTAGCTCTATTAGGTTAAGGAGCAACACTGTTGTCACACCCCCAAACCGGAGCGGCGGAAACGTCCGGGGGTGGATGACTTCATGTTAAGTATCACAACACATGCATCATAGTAATCAAAGTACAACAACCATTGCATTAATTATGTATAAATTTTACATAAGCGTTCAAACATTGTATAATGACACCGAAAATGTAGCATAAACTAAAAAACGTAACTCTAAGCTGCTCTGTCTTCTCAAAATCTGTCACACCCCAAAACCGGAACAGTACAAAAATTCGGGGGTGGAGGACGTCATGTACAATATCACAACAAAGCATAGTAGTAAACAAGCAACAACATCGTCCATTGCATTAATAATATAATTTAATACAAGTGTGTTCTATGAAGTTTATAAGACACCAAAAATGTAAATCAAAATAAGAGATGAGTCTTGAACGAGCTCCATCTTCTTAAAACCTGGCATCGGTACCTGTCTACTGATGACTTGAGAATACAAGTTATTTTAAAAGAGTTTATCAGCTTTAAAGTTGGTGAGTTCATAAGCAATTTAGTATCATGTAAGGACCTTAGATCAATCGATTTATCAAACAATGACTAATAATAAGAACAGAACAACGAAATATCACAAAGAGCTTTCACTAAGAATGATAATCTCACAAAGAGATTATTGTTTGCACAAAGCGGCTATTAGGGTTTGTGAAAGACAACCCCTTCACAAACCCGTACAAAAGATTATCTAGAACTATTATAGACAATCCCTACAAATCAGGGATGTTACAGCTAACTAATACAATATAACTATGGAAACAAGATAAATACTAAATCTATTACGTACGACTATATATACAGAACATCTTGTATGCTGACGCTGATACTGATGCTGACGCTGATGCTGATGAATTAGTTTCAAACATCATCATATTATAAGGTTCGACCTTACAATCTCCCCCAATATGATGATGTTCAAAACAACAACTATTCAAGAACAGCTCTGGACAAAAATTCTTCATACTCAGCTTCAGCTTCTATTTTTACAGGCCAGTAAGGACTATCCAGCAGCTCTTGTCTTCTATTCAGCAGCTCCATAGCAATTAGTATGTGAAACTCTCCAGATAGATCTTGATGACTCATGCACATTTGTCTTAGGCCAACGAGATGTGCTGTTGGAGCTCTTGGAATTTCTGTGGTGCGCTGAAAGCACATTCTTCTGTTTTTATCGAGATAAAACATTCCATGTTCAGGAACATAGATGAACTTATGTTGAACCGGCTCAACACCGATAGGAAGAGAGTTGTTTATTCCTTCAGCACCAAAATTTAGAACCAACACATCTTCACTATCAACTTGAAACCTGGTCCTTCTGATTCTAGGAACTGAGGAACTTTGGCCTTGCTGCTGAGAGTGTTTCACGGGAACAAGATCCAGATGTTGAACTTTCTTGATCAGTAGATGGAGAGCACATGTCAGTTCTGAAGAAAGAGCTGAAGTTTGTTTGGATGCTAATTCGAGCAATTCCATCCATTCAGAATATCCGTATCTGATCAGCTCATCCCTCTTGACAACTTCAGTGTATGGATGTTGAGGACCTTGACGAGTGATCAGTAATGTAAGAATTTTCTCATTACGAGGTTTAGAAGCTTTAACTTTGATGATCTTATCACTGCTCACTCATCGTTTAAGAACATCTTGAAACCTCTTTCGATCAATCCTGTCTAGAACATTTTCAGTCCTTGACTTGCTGCTACTGGGAAGAGGCTGGGAAGATTTGGATTTGGACTGATATTCCAAGAACTTCTGCAACTAAGCTTCAAAGGATCCTTTGGCCTAAAGTTGATGTTGAATGAGAGATTCATCAGCTTGAGCAATATTCTTTAGAAGTTGAGCTTGATTGGCTTCATCAAGAATTTGCTTAACTTGATCAGGAGACATATTCCATTCAGCTGCCAAGTTGGATATGCTGACGATGGACTTAGGTTTCTTTTTAGGCAAAGAAGTATCAGTGTGTGAACAAGCCAATTCAGTATCTGCTGCCTTGCGCTTGCGAGATAGAGGTTGAGTATCCTCACTAGCTACATCTGAATCTTCTCCTTGGACTAGCATAATAGGATCAATGAATTTCATATCTAGCATTTGACATTCATCATCATGTTCATCTTCATTATCCTCTGAGGCTTCTCCTTGAGCTGGAATAGTGGGATTAATGAAGTTCATGTCCAGCATCTGACACTCATCATCATGCTCACTATCTTCAGCAATCTGTTCAGTATCTGCAGGTCTATCTGACTCGTCAGCAGCTGGTCTAT